TTGCCAAGATGTTATATGAATTTCCATTTTGTTTCTTCTATGAAACAACAGTCACTGAAGAAGTAAGTAATAGCATGGAAAATATACTACGTTATAGTACTACTACTGTACTACTGATCCTATATATTAATTTTTAACTTGTAAATATATTATGATTTTTATATAATTATTTGTATCTAATGATATTACAGTGTAGCTCTCATGAAAATTTACTGCAATGTATTAAGAATGCTATTGATCGAAGAATTGTATCCAGCTTTAGCAGCTGGATTCATTTATAACATTTTTGTCGATGAGGAAGGTATCATAATAAAATTAGATGGATTTAATGAAAAACTACCTGTAAATATACATTCAAATCATATATATATAGTATATTAGGTACCGCGGAAAGTTCGTGTTATTTTTTTTCCTATAAACATTTCTTAAAAAAAACGACACGAACTTTCCGCGGTACCTTATAGTTAAAAATATAATTTCGAAATATATACGTGTATTTTTTTTCTATTACAGCTTTTATTGATGACTATTGCAAAATACATAGTGGACTATCCAACCCTTGTTACAAAGGACTTATTTGAAATTGTCATAGTGCAAAAACTCAAAACATTGTACAACAAATTTAAAGAACCTGATAAACTTGTCAAGTACTGATTATTTATTATCAAGCATAATTGTAACGATTATAAGATTCTTGTATGACTACAACAATTAATGATATTAATTATAAAATGAATTACATCAAGCTACATTTCTGTCGATTAATCAGTAACTTATATATTTTTATTCTTTTTTACAGGGAAGTGGAACGGAAACTTAATGTGTCCCATTATACAAATGTAGACATATACACTACTCTATGTAATGTTAATTTTGAAGAATTCCAAGACTTTGTAAAATCCTTCACCGATCATTTGTTCATTCACTGTCTCGTGCAAGGCAACATGACACAAGACGCTGTAATTGAAACTGTGCGACAATGTATCGAATTAATTAATTGCGATCCCTTGCCCTCTAGTACGTCGCCGCAGACGAAAGTTACTCGGATACCTCTGGGCACATACTACTGCAAATTAAAAAATATCAATAATATTGATATAAATTCTGTAGTGACAAATTATTATCAAGCCGGTGACACGTCGATAGAGTTATCAGTGTTAATCGAGCTATTGATTGTAAGTATTAAATAACATCATTTCATATATTTTGACTGCGTGGAATTCTCGGATTATATTCATTTTTATTTGTACAAGTAAATGAAATATGAATAACAGCTTTGGTTATTGCGATTGATTTTATCTACACATCACATTCATCTGCACTGTGCTTACAGATGATAATGAAAGGACCTTTACACAATCAACTACGAATCCAAGAACAGCTGGGTTATGACGTCTTGTGCGATTTTGTAGATTTTAATATAAATTTAGGGTATTCTATTTCCGTTCACACTCAAGCAGATAAATACACAACCGAACATGTGGACCAGCGAATTGAAGAATTTCTGAAATCGTTTAGTAAGATTTTGGAAGAATTCTCAGAAGAGAAATTGGATGATGTAAAGGAAGCGCTAATAACATTGAAGCAATCTGTCAATTTCGAATCTCTGAAAGAAGAAGTTGAGAGAAACTGGAGTGAGATCATAAGCTATGAATACATGTTTGATAGATTTGAGAGAGAAAAGCTTGCAATAAAGGACATAAAAATCGCTGAACTAAGAGAATGGTTTGCAAAGCACACACTGAACGGAAGTAATTTTAGAAAATTGAGCGTACATGTGATAGGAACTGATCCGAAAGAAATTACGATCGAGAAAGCAAATAGTGCGTAAATAATTGATTTATACCTATTTGTTGTCTAACTTTATTTTTTGTCAGATTTGCTTCCTCTGTTTTAAGGTGATTATACTTAAAGTTTCTAAATTAAAATTAAAATATTTGTTGTAGATACTGCAGAGAATTGTAAGAAAGTGGAGCACTTTTCTTTAGAATATATAACCGACGATCTACAGCGTAAGAAAATTGAAGATCATGTTATAAACGTAGAAGATAACAAGAACAAAGTAAATACAGTAACTAGACGAACATAAATATAATTGTAATAATATAGGAATACCTACATTATTAGGATATCGTTTAATTACTTGTCGGTTTAATCTTTGATACTATTATCTCAGTTTTAATTAGGGATTGTGTTTCAAGAATCGATCGAATAAATTGAATCGTATGCAGTTTGTAGAATCATATATGTATATAATTCACACTCAAAATATTATCAAATACTATAAAGATTTTTTAAATTCGAATAAGGCATTTTTCTACCTAATTCTATGTATACTTTATATTCTTTTTTGTTTGAAAAAATTTTGCGCTACTGTTTGTTTATTTAATTTTTAAGTATAATTCTTTCTATATTATTTCCCAGTTATCGTTTGAAACTGCAGCGACGATTGTACCTTCTGCCTCTGTAGAGAATATGATAGTACCTGCTCCTGAATTGTCTGCAGAAGGAGGGAGAATGTTATTTCCTTCTCAGTATACAGACTCGGACGTGGAATCATTACATTCGTAAGAGCTACTTCATGTTTTTTTAATGTTAATGTTTTCTCAATTTTTCATTTCAGTATCTTAATATTAAATGATATTATTTCAGCCCCGTTGAGCATAGGCAAGATCAGAAAAAAACACGAAGTAACATTGATGAAAACTTCGAAGATCCAGAAATTCCATTAAAAAAACAACGATGTACTTCGAAATTGACACATATTTCAGAATCTTCTGACATGTATTTTGAATTTTTCGTATTATTGTCGTTAAGTAGAAAAGCTAGACATAACAATATTTTAAATGTATATTCGACAGTTTTCGTAAATGGATATTTAAACATGAAAATCACATTAATCAAAAGTTTAAAGGAAAGATAGAATTTATATTGTTTTGTCGTATCCTAATAATCTTGCATAATTCTCTCTTCTATGAGACTCAGCGTATTGTTATCTCAAGTATACCATTTACCAAAGAATTGTTTGATATAACATTGTTATTAGTAATATAATATTGTTCTTACTATCAGTTCTATCGGAACTTCGCAATCTGCACTGACATGCCATGAGATTTGGAATTTATTAGAAGTTTTGTGGCGTAACGAACCGCGCGTCCAGTTCAGTCAACTTATTCCAGAGGACATATACACGAAGAGTGACGCTGTTATCGCTTTCAAAATACTTCTTGGTAACTAAACGTTACATGTTTTCCATTATTTCAAAAAATACTGGTGAATTTTATCTTATTGTATCTTATTGTACAATCTTATATTATACAATTCGTTTATAGAATTTCAAGCACAGCAGAAGGTCATTTTGCAGCAGATTGACAATGAGTGCTTTGAGGATATATGGATTTTGAAGTACAAGGAAAATTAAACTAAGATATAGTATAAGTGATCAGTTATACATATACAGGGTGGGAAAAAAGGTCTTATTAAAGATCTTTTTAAGTGCTATAACTTTTATTTGAAACATTTTTTTATAAAGTTTATATTTTCCGAGTTATTCAGGAATATCAACCTATTTTTCCCCCCCACCCTGTATATTAATTAATTGTTATAATATAGATATTGATATTAATATTTCACCGGAATTCCGTGGAATTTATTTTGATTATTTTTAATAAATGATACTATTTTTTTGCGTTTGATTTATTCATTGGAGAAGAAAAATGCGAGATGTTATTTTAGTATTTTTTGGTAAAAAAAAAAAGCATTTGCAATATTCTTTTGAAATATTACTATTATTTAATGAGATATGTAATGTTTTAATGCCTTTAATGTTTCAATGAAATACAGAAAGACTGCATTATTCATTTTATATGTACGAATATATTTGTTCTAATATCATGAACTATTTAATTTTACAAGTGAATTATTTTTATGAAAATATCTTTTTATGTATTATTTATTCTTTGTCATTTTATATAAATTATAATTTTTTTTATAAATGCGATATTTTAATGAAAGAAAAAAGATAATATTGATCTCAGGACCATACATGTGAGAAAGTGCTTGTATAATAATGAATTTATGTACTACTATGTAGTCCTTTGTTTTATTTCTATTTTGAATCTCCTCAAGGATTACACCAAGGCTGAGTTCGGAAATTTCATCAAAGTACCCGAATATATATCATTTTATTTTTGTTTTATGTCTAATAAACGATGTAGATTTAGGTCGGTATTCATAGTAGATTCTTATATTTGAGACTGTCTTAAATACAGTCTTAAGATGTCATCAGCCAATCAGAGGGCTGCATTACCATCTTAAGACATTACTTAAGACAGTCTGAAAATAAGAATGGACTATGAATACCGCCCTTAAAGGCTACATTTATACAGTGCTCTTAGTCCGCAACCTATACGATAGGTGTCTTTGTTTAATATACAGGATAAACAAGGATGTCTATTGTATAGGCCGCGGCCTAAATGCACGGTGTAAACGCCAAAGTGTCGCTCAGCTGGGGCGGTTTCGCTTCGATGTTGCAATGGCTGCGTTTAGCAGCCATTTTCGAAAACAGCTTTGACGGTCGTTTCTACTATTGTTGTGTTTCAAAATTTATTGCTGGTACTGAAAATTTATAGTTTACGTTACGTGTACTATAGATTCTCAGTAGTGGCGATAAATTTTGGAGCCATTTGAACTATTTGTCCATGTAAATTAAATCCAAACAGGTGCCTTAAAAAGAAAAACTTTCATCTCGGTGATCTCGGTCAAACTTATCTCCATCTTTTTCTAATTCTTAGAACTAGAAATTCACCAATCACTGGTAGAAACGGGCATAAGAGATTTCAAGAAAAAGAAGAAGGTTAGAGTGCTGTAGAACACTGTAACCAAGTCTACTGGAAAAGATAAAGTTAAAAACGACTTAAAATCCTGTTACGAATTCTGCTATCGGATTATATTTTACTGACCGACTTAATTTCTATTCTGACTTCCTGTACGTTGATATAATGCCAAAAATGCAATGTAGTAGTGATGAGCGCTTTCGAGTCGAATATCTGGAGACGCCCGTTACATCGGAGAAAGACGAGGCGGCATATAGGTGAGATGGAACCAAATATTCAACACAAGTATGATTTCGATCGAAATAAGCGTAAGAAATATCTAGATAATAGATCTTTTCAGCTGAACTTCTTCCAACGAAAAAGAAGAAAAATGAACGGCGAAGTACAGCTGAAAAGAACATGATTAATATTTTTACTAATTTCTCATTTCATTATTGTTTGTTTTATCTTCCAAATTTAGAGTCATCAGATTACCAAACGGTTTAACAGCTTTGCTAATAGGAGAAGAAGGAGATCATAAAGGTGAAGATAAACATGATGAATATAACGAAGAAAATAGTACTTCAATTAAACGAATTATGAGAAATGCATATAAGGTACAAGACAGTTGTAGTTTAGTTTGTATTTTAGGATATTTCTTGTATTAATTTTTTTACATAATTCATCATTAAATATTTTATTTGTAATAACAAAAGTAAATAAGTCATAAAAGATATCTTCCTTTATATATAAGGCCTAATATATCGATAAATTTCAAAAATTCTTTCCAAGAACACATGGACTTTACACTCCTCGTGCTATGGTGTATATTGCTTCATGAGGATAGGATGACAACATACATAATGGTTGTGTTCCGAAAAATATATTGCCAGTACTAAAGCTGGTATTCATAGTCCGTTTTTATTTCAAGATCATCTTAAGTAATGTCTTAAGATATTAATACAGCATGACCATCTGATTGGTTTATGACATCTTAAGTCTATACTTAAAACAGTCTTAAATACTAGTCGACTACCTACTAATATTTAACTAATCTACTAGTACATACTGGTCTAAGAATCTGTAGTTATGGTCACCATATTTTCTTAAAAAAGAAATAAAGGACAAATCTGAAAATTTAGGGCTTTATGCCTACATGTTTTCAAATCAGTTTATGACTGTTAAGAATCTATATATTATAAAATTTTCATAGTATAATCAAATTGAGATACTTTTCTGATAGTTCGAAATTGATTCGACTGTATTGGAACAAACCCTTGATCTAAAATAATAAAGGGTTCGAAATAAAAAAATGAAAACAACTCTAGTTTGAATAAATTTAATTTTAAAAAATTAAGAAATTTTTGAGATATTTGCCTAGATTAATTAATCATCTTATATAAGAAAATAACAAAAAGAATAACATTACTACTTTATAATTAATTTTTAATTTTTTACATGACCATTCAATAAAGTGTATGCCTGAACTTTCTGAGTGGCAGTGTATAGTACGTTACAGGAAATTAATTGATTAATTTGGGCACATATATAATTCATAATAGTCGACCAATATGCATAATGCATACCTGTTTTAGCCTGCCAGTATGCATAATCCCTGCTTTAATAAAGCGTAAAATGTATAAATTCCGAATTGATTATTATCTGTAACATATATACAAATATATATATATTTTTAACATAGGCACAATGTGGATTGTCTGTTGGAGTAGGCAGTTTCAGCGATCCATTGGAGATTCCAGGCCTGGCACATTTACTTGAGCATATGGTTTACATGGGATCCGAAAAATATCCACAAGTAAAACATGAAACATGAATATATTATTAAAATTTATTTATTTGCATATATTCAAATGTGTATCATTTTACTTGAAGGAAAACAATTTTCACGAATTTATTGTAAAGCATGGTGGACATACTAATGCTGTAACGGACAATGAGCATACAACATTTTTCTTTCATATCCAAGAGAAATACTTGTTACCAGCTCTCGATCGTTTTACTCAATTTTTCATTAAACCCCTGATGAAGAAAGATGCCATCATACGGGAGCGAGAGGCTATAGAAAGCGGTATATAAATTATAATCGTAATATTGTTACCATAATCTTGATACGATATGCTCATATAGAATTTCAGTTGGCCTTATCTTATGATGAGAACAGGAAGGAACAACTATTTTCTTCCTTTGCGCGAACTAATCATCCAGCCAATAAGTTTACTTGGGGCAATTTAATAACATTGCGCGATAATGTACATGATGACAAATTGTACGAAGAGCTGCACAAATTCAGGAATCGCCATTACAGCGCTCACAGAATGAAGCTAGCTATACAAGTAACTTCGTTAAAATTGCGAGAATTGATTACTTACTAAATATAAGATTTGTTCGCGTCGCATGCTCCAATATGTTCCAATATGCTCCTACCATAGCTTTTACTCCAACACGCTTGATAGAGTGAGTAGGAGCTATAGTAGGAGCATATTGGAGCATGTTGGAGCTTGCGACGCGAACAAACCTATAGTTAATTCATAACATAATGTCTTCTAGACGAAACTACCACTGGATGCATTGGAAAAACATGTCATAATGTGCTTTGCTGATATACCAAATAACGGGCTGCCTCCTGATGATTTTACCATATTTAAAGATGTTTCTTTTGATACCCCCGCTTTCCGAAAAATATATAAAGTTAAACCTTTCAAAGATATCAGTCAAGTACGTGAATCAAACAGATCTAAAAAAAACTCTTTATATTGAATAAATATTGTCTTTTAGTTAGAAATAACATGGGCAGTACCTTCACTACTTGACTTTTACAAAAGCAAACTAAATCATTATGTTGCATGGATTATTATGCATGAAGGGAAAGGTTCCTTATTTAGTTATCTACGCAAAAAAATGTGGATCCTTGATTCATTTAGTGGTACCTATGAAAACGATTTTGAATATAACTCGATGTATTCCTTGTTCAAAATCAGTGTAGATCTCTCCTATGAGGGACAACATTATCTGGAGGAAGTTCTAAATGCGATATTTTCTTATATCAATTTAGCAAAGAGGGAGGGCCCGCAGAAACAGATTTACGATGAGATTTATAAAATAAAAAAAGATGCTTTTAGGTAAATTAATTTTAAGAATAAATAGATGTGCGAAAGAGAAAAACAAAATTACGTAAGACTTCATTTATACTTGAAGGTTTTTTTTTTTAGATTTTCAGATACGGAGGATAATGTGAATGATTTGTGTATAAGTATGCATTACTATCCGCCTCGGGATTATATAACTGGAAACTATAATCTTTTTCTCGAGTATAATCCGGAAGCTATACAAAAATATTTGGACTATTTGGTGCCAGAAACTGCAAATATCATGATTTTTAACAATGATTTTGATTGTGTTGAATTAAATAAAGTTGAACCATGGTTCAAAATCAATTATAAGGACATTGAGATACCAAAGGAATGGATTGAACGCTGGAAATCTATCGAGCCATTGCCAGATTTTCATTTACCATTACCAAATACATTCATTACCAATGACTTCTCTTTAATATCGATGCCAGCGGAGGCAGCGGAGGTTCCAAAATATCCTGTAATATTACACAAGAATGATATGTCGGAGATTTGGTATTGTCCAGTGTGTTGTATTCCGAAATGTTATATCGATTTGCATTTTGTTTCTGATTTGGGACTTCAGTCGCCAAAAAAGTAAGTAATAGCATGGAAAATATGTAATAACTGTACATTATATAATATAGTAACACTATATTCTACTGATCCTATATATCAATTTCTAATTTGCAATTATTATAATTTTTTTGTAATTGTATCTTATTTAAAAAAATATTTACATTAACATTTCAGTGCAGCTCTCATGGAAATGTACTGCAGTGTATTACGACTATTATTGATCGAAGAATTATATCCAGCTATAGCAGCTGAGTTTCATTATGATATAAGAGTCGGTGAAAAAGGTGTTATAATAAAAATAGACGGATTTAATGAAAAACTACCGGCAAGTTTATGTTCAAAACGTGTGTTGGAATTATATTTTATAACTTCAAGAAATATATCAATATTTTTTATATCTATTACAGCTTTTGTTGATGACTATTGCAAAATACATGGTCGACTATCCAAATCTTGTTACGAAGGACTTGTTTGAAATTGTTAAAGTGCAACAACTCAGAATATTGTACAACAAATTTATAAAACCTGAGAAACTCGTCAAGTGACTATTATTAAACATAATTGCAACAATTATGAAATTCGTACATAACTAACAGAAATAATTAATGATATATATTATTACAATTGATATTGTAAAATTATATTGAGTTACATTTCTGTCAATTAATCAATATCACATATATCTTTATTCTTCTCTGCAGGGACATGAAATTATGGATACTAAAGCTTGTCCATTATACACGCATTGATATACACACTGCTCTGTGTGATATTAACTTTGAAGAATTTCGAGACTTTGTGAAATCTTTCACCGATCATTTGTACATTCAATGCCTCGTGCAAGGCAATATGACACAAGACGCTGTAATCGAGACTATATTACAATATATTGAAATAATTAATTGCGGTCTCTTGTCTTTTGGTATGATACCGCAGACGAAGGTTATTCAGATACCTTTGGGCACATACTATTGCAAGTTGAAAAATATTAATAAAATTGATGTAAATTCCGTAGTGACAAATTATTATCAAGCCGGTGTCACCTCGATTGAGTTATCAGTGTTAATCGATCTGTTGATCGTAAGTATTAAATAACATCATTTCAGTATATTTTAAATGCGTGAAATTCTCGGATTATATCCATTTATCTGTACAAGTAAATGAAATATGAATAACAGCTTTAATTATTGCGATTGTTGCGATTATCCGTACATTACATTCATCCATACTTCTTTTTTTAGATAATAATGAAAGAACCGTTAAGTAATCAGTTACGAACTCAAGAACAGCTTGGTTATAGTGTTTTGTGCGACCTTATAGATGTTAACGGAATTTTAGGATATTCCATTACCGTTTGTACACAAGCAGATAAATACACAACTGAACACGTGGACCAACGAATCGAGGAATTTCTGAAATCGTTTAATAAAATTTTGGAAGCATTTACACAAGAGGAACTAGATGATGTTAAGGAAGTGCTAAGGAAATTTAAACAAAGTGGGAGAAGAGAAGAAGGGAGAAACTGGAGTATCTGGAAAGAGATCACAAAGTTGCAATACATGTTTGACAGACACGAAAGAGAAGCGCTTGCAATAAAGAACATAAAAATCAACGATTTGAGAGAATGGTATGCAAAACATACACTGAATGGAAGTAATTTTAGAAAATTGAGCATACATGTGGTAGGAACCGATCTGAAGGAAAGTGTAGTCAAGGAAGAAAATAGTGAGTAGATACCTTTTTTGATCGAATTTTGATCAGTGTCTATTTGTTTTCTGATTTTGTAAGATTATATTTTTGCCTTCCACTTTTATTGTCGGATTATGCTTAAAATTTTTAAAATAATACAAAAGTATCAATGTGAAAAATCATCAAAGTTTAAAAAAATTAAGTTTCATATATACTGCAGAGTGCAGAGGATTGCGAGAAAGCGCGGCTAGAGATCCTAAAAGTAGAGATCGGCCAATGCCGACCGTGATTGGCTCTACCATGACGTTGTGAAACCGGATGTGAGAGTGAGAGAAGCGAATATGAGAGTAAGAGAAGCGACACCAGCTTGCTGTGAAGAATGTCAAGGTTCTGCTCTGGTGGAAAAATTTCGCTGAAATTATTCCACTTTTCGGAAAAATTTAAGCATTTTAGAAAAATTCCAGTTTAATTTCAACAATTTTTAGCTGAAAAATTAATTTTTAGCAAAATTTCAGCAAAAATTTAAGAAAAATTTCAACAAAATTTCAGAGTAATTTCAGTTTAGTTTCAACGATTTTTCAGTATGTTAGCTGAAAAATTCACTTTCAGTGAAATTTCAGTAAATTTTCAGCAATTTTGCTAAAATGTTCCAAAATATGGAATAATTTCAACGAAATTTTTTCACCAGGATGGTATTGATATATTGACGCGCATTTCCATGATCACATGATTTCCGGTTTCACAACCTCATGCTGGGCGTTGGCCGATCTCTACTTTTAGGATCTCTAAGCGCTGCATTTTATTTTGGAATGTATAATTAATAATAAGCAACTTAGAACTGTCATCATATTACGAACCTAAAAAAATATAAGAGATTGACATCTATCCAAATAAGTGAAGAGTTAATCTTTTCAGAGTGCTAAATAAATGACATTTTAACAATAATATTAAAATGATAATAAAGTAACAAGTCTTACTGCGGTGTGTGATATTGTATAAAATTCTTTTTTACTATTTAGCTTATACTTAAATTTAATACTAATCTTCACATAACAAAACTATAATAAAGCATTACGTGTATAATCGCAACTTTTCTCATGTAACTCTTTATATTTATAAAGCTCTTATATTTAAATATTCTGACATGTATTCTAAATTTTTCTTTTATTATCAAGTAAGGAGCTATACATAATTACAATATTACAAGTGTATATTCGACAGTTTTCATAAATGGATATTTATAAAACGTAAAAATCGTTAATTGAAAATTTGAAGGAAGAATAAAATTTGTATTGCTTTGTAACCTAATAAATCTTGCATAATTTTCTCTCTCGAGACTTAGCTATTTGTTATTTCAAGTCTACCATTTACTAAAGAATTGATTAATATGATAAAAATATTATATTATGCTTACTTTCAGATCAAATTGGAACTTTGCAATCTGCACTGACAAGTTATGTTTGGGCTTGATTAGAAGTTTTATGATATAATGAACCATGTGACAAGTTCAACTTATTTCAAAGGACGCATAGACGAGAAAGAATGTTGCTACCGCTTTTATTATACTTCTTGACAAGTATTGTGATATTTGCAATATTTTTCATTATTCCAAAAAATAGTGGTAAATTTTATTTTAGTTTTTCTTATTGTGTCAGTCTAATATTATACAATTTGTTGATAAAATTTCATGTACAAAAGAAGCTCGTATTGCAGCAGTATACTACACTATATGGATTTTTTTTGTAATACAAGAGAAGTAAATTATATAACTAATGTAATTGAGACATCAATTACACATTACATGAATTAATTGATTGTTAATAGATATCGATGTATAATAACTATAATATTTCCATCGTGGATTTGATTTTTGTTACTTTTTTTTTAATGGTACTATTTTCTTTTGAGAACTTTTTTAAAAGAAAAATGCGAGATATTATGAACTTTTAGCATTTTTGAGTAAAGGAATGTTTCTTACATTATTATGAATAATTTATTTTTACAAATGCTACGAATTATTTTTACTGTCATTTTTAATAATATATATCTTAGATTAAAATATCTTTAACATATCAATGAAAAAAGAGAAAGAAAACAATTTCAATATGCAATATTCACTTGTACGTGTATTACACAAATATATACCACAAGTTTATATTTTTATTATATATATGTTATAATATGTATATTGTTTATTTTGTTGCCATGAGAGTTAAAATATCAAATAAATAATAAATATAAACGATTTCGTATTTTATTCTACAGCTTTACTTTGTATTTATTCTCATTTTGTTATGCTATTTAATTCAATAATCGACGCACTCGCACGCCGTAATCGGCGTTTCGTAAAGTGACCCAAAGTGATAGGTATATATTCGATATTTAGATGAAAGTGAGAAAGAGAGTTTTAGTGCAAGAATAAAAAAACAGACTTAAGCGTCGTCTTATGCGTCGTCCACAATGGCAGTATCAGGATGAGACTGTAAGAGTGATGCATGGTCTACAATGGCAGTAGCAATAGTGGATGAGACTGTAAGAGTAACAAATTGACCAATTACAGTTGAATGTAAGAAGAATAATCGACTGTGATTGGTCAATTTCTTACTCTTACAGCCTTATCCATTACTGATACTGCCATTGTAGACCACGCATAAGAAATTGACTAATTACAGTTGAATGTAAGAAGAATTATCGACTGTGATTGGTCAATTTCTTACTCTTACAGCCATTACTGATACTGTCATTGTAGACGACGTATTATGCGTCAACTTGGGCTACGGTCTCCACTTGATGCTTCAAATGCTTCGAAGAATTTTTTGATTGGTCAATTAGTAAAATTCTTTCTTCCGATTGATCAATCAAACTTTTCGAAGCATTTGTAGCACCAAGTGGACTGCACCCTTGAATGCACCCAATGTCTTAAGATGCTAATACGGCTCTCTGATTGGTTCATGCGTTAGCTTAAAACCATCTCGAATCTTGAGCAATGTCTATGGATTTAGCCCATAATATCTTAAGACTGTACTTATAACCCTGGATTTACAAGGGTTTTAAACCTTAAGCCATAAGAAATGGACGAATCACAAGCTGTATTCCAAATTTGCTGTCAGTACTGAAAATGCTACAGTTTACGTTACGTGCACTATAGATTTTCAGTACTGGCAG